CAATCGTGCCGGTAGCAAAGTCAGGACAGAAACTGATTGGTCCGATGGACACAGTTCACACGCGTTTGTTGCTCTAAATATGTTGTACCTATTACACTCAAAGACTTCTTCTTTCGCCCTGTTCTTGTCGTGTTCTTTCTTGGGGTCTCACACAGGACGCAATTAGGCGGTGACGCCTCGGCCTTGGACATCCGTTACAACAGAACGTTTGTTAGATGCTGTGCAAGTCCAATTATAAGTTTATCCACGGGCACTTCATAGTCCTTATGGGCATCATGCTATGTGCAACGACGCTCGGCCCATCGCGTGTGTGACACGCCTAGACTTGGGTTTTTCCAAATTAAGCACTGCGCCCACGTCTATTTCCAGTCGTTTTTACTTCGTTTTTTTTTCATTGGGATATGATAGGTCCAAAAAAATTGGGAGGGGTAATTTCTGTGAGTTCTCCTTTATTCTGAACTAGTTGGCTCGTGAATCAGTGCTGCATCCTCGAGGCACTTATTGTTTGCATCAACTGCCATTGAAAAAACTTCAGTTATTCTTTTGCAGTGTGAACGCCTACCTAAAAAATCATTTTTATTAGTTTCATAATGGTTCGCTTTAAATATGTGCATTTTTCAGAATCCTTCGTTCTGGTTTTACGACCTTCTGCATTTGTCTTTATACTTCCTAAATTAATATGCAATTTTTTGATTCTTTAGAGTAGCATTCAACAAGTAAAATCATAAATATCGTTTTGGCACTTCGACCCGAATAGTTGAACCACTTAAGTCCCACAGTACCTGTTACTTTATTCAGGAAAAATGTGACAAATAATTCAGTGGCTGCTTCGGAGGCTTTCTTGAATAGTGATACTCAACAGCCGACGTCTACTTTCAAAATTCTTACGACAGAGCTCTAATAATGCGGGAAATGGCCAGGCCGCTATTTCTTCAGTGTGGACGTTCAACTTTTTTCTTCCTTTGTTTTCTATCTACAGGAAAACCAGTCTGCTAGAGGCCCTGTTGACTCTTCTGCTGTCGGGCCTAGTTGCAGCGATTGGCAGCTGCTTGCTCAGTTCTGGAGCATTTCGCAATTTTAGCCTTTTCTGCTGTTGTTGCGTGATGGCCGGTTGCCACTTCTCCCTCATCAAGAGTGTGCAGCCAGACCCCGCATCTCCGCGACATGGATTTAACCACCTCATAGTATTCAGTCGCTCCTTCCTCTTCTGCCTCCTCGGTGGGATCTTCGTAGGCATCTTTGTGGTTACTGTGCCCAACTCCTTTCTATCCTCCTCATGGTCCAGAGAGGGAACTACCTGGCCCCTGGTGGATGGCAGAATGATTGTACCCACAGCGGACTTGTGTGGGCCCAAGTTCTTCTTCGGGCCGGTATCCGATGCTGTAGTCACTGTCGCAGACTCCACAGACTATTTACAAGTTGAGAAACTGACACTGTACGGATTCACCCTGAACCCTATCCAGCTAGCTTGTGGCTTCAAGGATTTCTGTGCTTTTCTCCTTCTCGCCTTTCCGCTCGTATTTGTTGTGGGTTTGGTGCCCCAACTGAATACTATGCTAATTTATCTACTAGAACAAGTGGAGATTCATGTCTTTGGTGGAACAGGAACTGCAAATCTCGGATCTGCTCTCTTTTCCATATTCCGCAGTATCTTCGTTGCTATTCTCGGTTTCGGACTTTGCTATTCAGGTGCAATAGTAAGTAGTTGTCCCTTCTTGTTGTTAAGGTCCTGAAATTCAGATTTCACCAAATTATTTGCCATGTTTAGTCTCTGTTATGCTCCGACAGGTAGGCGAAAAAAGACAACAAAGCCGGTTTCGGAGAGCGACAACTTATTCACAGCCTGCAGAAACAGAGGATTGCCTATCTCGTCAATTCTAGCTTATATATGGGTTTCCGGCTGTTCTCGAACATTCCTACCAATGGCGCGCGCTGAGCGTTCTGAAATGTTCTGGCCTACGGCTTACCACACGCTGATTGGTCGTTTCGCATGCTGTAATGCCCCGCAGCCGAACAGAAGGCGTCACGCGTGCTCGAAGCAACACCGCACACTGATTGGCTTTCTGGTTGCCCGTGCGTATTACCCAGCTGGATTGGCCTGTTGCGGCGCCTGTTACGTGTTCTTTTCGCTTTGGTCTGCGAGTACATTTCGGTTTTCGTCTCCATAACGGCATTTAACCCACCAGAGGGCCTGCTAACTTTCGGTTGGTATAACGCTTCTTAAAGGACAAATAGGAACCAATTTTACTGTAGACTTCAGAAAGTAAGGGATTAGTCAGTCAGACTCGAACCACGAAATTACACCGGGTGTTCTCTTTATCAGTTGTGATGGCCGGTTTGTATCCGCTAGGAAACTCCGTTTATTATTTTGCTCCGCTCACGTGTTCTTCTAGTCTGGTTTTTTGTGCCGTTATGTCTACCCTTTGATGTTACTATTTATGCCCTCACGTCTTGAGTTAACGCCCTTCATAAGTTTGGTGAGATAAAGCTTAGCGAAATCCTTGCTGCTTACAGTTATTTCATATCTTCCGCTCGCCTCTATAAGTACTGTTGAGGCTTTCTTAGTCTGGGAAAGTTTGCGTGGGGCGACGAGGTTGACGTCTCTCTCTAC